CCCCCACCCCCCCCCCCCCCCCCCCCCCCCCCCCCCCCCCCCCCCCCCCCCCCCCCCCCCCCCCCCCCCCCCCCCCCCCCCCCCCCCCCTGGAGATAATCAAAATTTTTACTTTGTTTCATCGACAAGTGAACATTATATTTGAGCCCATCATTGAAAGTCAATGGCTATTGGTATACGCCAAAAGAAAGAGTAGCAACTAAAAAGAAGATAGTAATCATATTGAAAATGAGAAAATTTATTCCCTTTTTATTTTAGAACATGAAAGAGGACAACTTACAAAAAAGAAAAATAAAAACAAACGAAGAATACTTTCAAACACAGATCTTTATCAATCAATCTTCTGCTGTTCATAATAGGAAAGAAACAATGAAAAGAAAAAAAAATTGAAAGAACCAAAAGAACGGTTTTATTATATTAATAAACTAATAGCACTGTTGATAAGAACACCAGATTATCTTTTCTTTATTATGTTCTCAATACCTCAAGTTCTAATTTCTGCAGCTTTATCTGACTAGCTAATATGAAAACAAAATAATCATAATAAAAGCGCGAAAAAATAGCCATCCCTTTTCTTTCCTTAATTTATTTATTATTTATATTAGCTACGGTTCCACTAAGTGAACTGTTGATCGTTATTGGCACTGGTAGATCACCATTGCTTGCTGTAACTAATGTATTTGTTTTCCTTGATTTCGATTCCATTTTTAAATATCCGTAACATCTTTGCACCAGTGGCATTGTAAATAATAATAATGCAGCAAACGTTGTACCAATACCAATAGCAGTATAGGTTAAACCATAAGAATTACGATCCGCAACAATACCTATTTATAAACAAATAGACAGAAATCCTCTAATTGCTTTTTGCTTTCAATTTCTTACCAAGTGCCGGAGGACCAATTAACGACGAAATACCTTGGCAAAGAAGTAGCATACCGTATGCATTGGTGAAATTTTGCGTACCAGCAAATTTTATACAAAGGATAGGCATTAATACTTCTTGGGCACTTTGTAAAAAACTAGTGAAAAGCATCAGTGGCATTAATAATGAATAAGATTTCATCGCAAGTGGAATGAGTAATTGAGAAAGACCGGCCATACACAATGAACACGCATATATATAAAGTGGTGATATCCTAAATAATAGAATAATATTAATAGACGATCCCGAATAAAAACTAAGTTGTTTCGCATCAATTATTGAAATATTAAGGTAGAGATATTCTAGATACATCTTTGCAACAATAAATCTTAATTACATGTACTAAAATTGCCCTCCTACTTGTGATGACTTTATCTCAATGATTTTAACACCAAATAGTTTCGTCTGATTTCGCATAAGAAAGGTCATTCTCGTAGTTATCTATAGTCTAACTGGTATAAGAAGTCATTAGATGAGAAGAAATGTTGACTTTTAGTAAGATGAATTTCAACTAGGAAGATTTAAACTAAGTCACTTAGAATTTTAATTCAAAATTTCCCGTAAGTGATTTACAAACACAACATTGAATCAAGATGAGTTTTAGTTCAAATTTTGATACACATGCTTATTTACTATCTCAGAACACGCCAATTATAAAAAGCATTTTTATGTATCACAAACTTTAATAATAGATAATATGAGGTCGCCTGAAGCATTAGAAAAAAAACCCGACGCAAGCAGTTTGTGGAATAGCAAAGAGTAACTTCTTTTTAATCTATATCTCAGCTGAATATGTTTTTCACCAGGGAAATAATATGTGTGAATCATAGCTGCATTGCATGTGACTTGATATAGGTCATGCTGACGTTTATGATTGGGATTTCTCTGGCATAGATACGACGTAGTCAACATATCAGCTCAAATGTCACAGCCTCACATGAGCGATAATTGCTTTAAGCGAGGGTTCGAATTAAAGGAAAAAAATTTCGATTGAAAAGAACAAACATGTTGATTGAATACGTCAATAAAAAGACTTAAGCCTATTTTCTTAGTCATTCGATAAACGCCAAAAAAGTGAAACATGAAATAAGAGAGTAGTTCGAGAATAAATCGACATTTACAAATTAACGTTATCAATAGTAAATATTCGCTTTTAAATCAAATCGATTCTTGTTGTTGTTCTTTCCCAAATAGAAAACTTCAAGAAAAAGCAAATGATTACCTCTTAGAATCTCCGAGATATCCATAACCGATTTCACCGAAAATTGCTACTATTCCAACAGCTAAAATTAAATGTGAACCCTGTTCAGCAGTTAAATTATTTTGTTTCATATAATCAATGAGAAATGTCCATGTAGCATCGTAAAAAATAGTTATAATTGTAACACATACGCAAAGTAGAAGAAATGGTAATATACGTAGAACACGTACTAATTTACATATATCATGATAGATTTGTTGGCAAATATTCTTCTTCTTGGCTTCATCTTCTTCTTCTTCTTCATCTTTTAAATAATCCTCTATATTTCTTGGTACTGTCAATGAACGATGACGTCTTCTACCTGCTAACATCGGCGAATATAAATTCGGTAAACTTAAACTACGATCAATTGAAAAATGTAATGATTGTAGTTTACATATGTTTAATACACTTTCATAATTATAGATATTTTTTGAACATAATGCTAATTGTGAAAGATTCCCCCGATTAAAATATGCCGAATGATGATGATGATGATGATGATGCGATGAGTGTGTACGAGTACTTCCACTTGCGGCTACTGGCATATTATGATGTTGATGACGAAATGGATAATAAGACATTGGTTGCTTATTATCATGAGAAGTATTATTATTTGATAAACGACGTTGACGACGATGATGTGAACGAGATTTACGTGAACTACTTCCAGTAGTCGATGGTACCGTTGAGGGAGCAGATTTATCAGTTGATAATGGACGTGTTTCAGTAGATGATAAATTTCTAGAGTGAAAATAATAGGATAAAAAAAATTATTGTTTTTATTTTTCATCAAAATCTGGGCGAATGGTGAAGGCTTGCTTTTTCATAAATATATATATATATATAAGATATAATCATCTAGCTGAAAGAAGAATAATATTTGGAAAACTACATGAGTTTCTCATTAAAGCAATATGAGAGAGAGAGAGAGAGAGAGCAGCATTCAAGGATATTTATCTTGATGGCGTATTAATAAAAAAAAAAAGGAAAGAGGGTAAGGGCATTTTGCGAAGAATTATTCGAGCTATGGAATAATAAGATAAAAAGAAATAAAACTATACTCGTATTATAATGAAATTAATATTGTTGAAGGCCTGAAGATTTTTTCTTCAAAAAAAAAGTAAAATATTTAGTATGTTTAGAGCTTACTTGCAACTATTTGATCGTTCTGCAATAGGTGGTACTTGTGTTGCGCGTTGAATTTCATCGGTTTGCTCGATTTGTGTTGTTGATGAAGATAGTTTTTGTTCATTGAAATTTCTTTCTTTTTGTTCTTGTTCTTGTTCGAGTTCCTTTCGATGTTGACGATATTCATCTTCGTAATGTTCACGAACAGCTAATGGCAAACATATTTCAGATTTCGAATATTGATCTAATAATTCTTGTTTTGTATAATGATCATAGAAAAATATATCATCGATTATTGAGGGCCGATGTGTCGGCGGAGGCGTATTTGAAGAAGCATCTTTAGTTGCTTCTTCGGATTCAAGATTTGTTACAGTAGTATTTGTAGCTTCCATTGGAACTTCTGATTGTTCTGAAGGTGCCAACGCTGTCGATGTTGTTTCATTTCCATTTTCAGTTTCTTCTTCTTCACCTGACCAAAGAAAAAAAAGATTATGATAATTCGTTGAATTTTCATATGTTTACCTTCTTCTTCTTCATAATCCTCTTCGTCCCATTCTACTTCACGAAATAGAGCAGCGAACGCAACAATTGATAAAACAACACCAGAGAACAGCATCATGGCACCATTCCAATCGTATTTATTAATTAATTTTTGTAATACAATAGCAAATACGCATTGGCCAAATGCTCCACCTTAGAAAGAAAAAATCATATATATATATATATATGTTGTAGTGGAAATTAAAATTCAGTAGAATTTAAAATCCTACTAGTAGAAATTGAAATTTTAGTTTCTACTATAGGTAAAATTCAGTAGAATTTCAATTTCTACTAGTAGAATTTTAAATTCTACTGAATTTTAATTTCTACTGCGACATATATATATATAACTTTGTATCATTCTATCCTACTCTACATACCACTTATTGTAACACCAGATGCAAATGATGGCTTAGCTTCAAAATGTTCTGTTACAGCAACGACAGTCGCAACAAGTACTAGCGAATTTCCAATTGCATAACAGACACCCATTGTTAAATAAAGTAATTCAAGACGACGAGCAAATGAAGTTGCCAATAATGATAATGAACCAATCAAACCGCCAAGCATGGCTGTTTTACGATAACCAAATCGTGTTGTTGCTATTGATGCTATTGGACCAGCTAAACACGGTACAGCATTCATCATCGATTGAACTAACGCAACACGTGATGAGCCTTGATCAGGAAATTCGTCTTGTAATGCAACAAATAATATTGGAAAAACTGATGTTAATGCTTCACCGATTGAATACGTAAGAAATGAAGCAACTAATATAACCCAACTCCACGCTGATTGATATTCAATAAATTCTCGCCATGGATTTAAAATTCGATTTAAACGTCGACGAAACGGTTCCGGTGTGGAACAACAGCCACAACATCGGTCGGAATCTACTGGAATCACATAATCATTGGATGTCGGCTGTTCTGACAAGCCGTTTTTTGGTTTGGAATACAGATCGACTAAATAGATAGATGAAATAATTATAATGTAATCGATTGGCAATTTTGTTTTTATTTTCCATTAAATACCTGAAGGAGTCTCTTGGTTTTGCTGAAGACTATCCGTCTTCTTGCTATCTGTCGCTGAATAGTCTCCGTTAACTTGAGGATAGTGTACACGTTTTTTGTTTTTAACTGTTGGCTGAGGTGTTGCTGAGTTGATTATTTCACCTATTTGTTTTTCGACTTCTTCTTTTTCTTCTTCTATAGTTGTCGTCGGACTCGCATCTTCTTCTTTTCTTTCTTTGTGCTTATGATATTGCTCTCTATGGCTAGGTGACTGCATGCTTGTTATTGTTTGTCAACGGATTTGTTTTCTTATATTCTGCGCGATATATTAGTTAATAGCGTAAAGTTAGAGTGATACAATGGTAATAACGATAAACGAAAAAACCCAAAAATAAATATATATTTATATATATATATATATATATGTATGTATGTATTAACAATAAAATATAAAGATTTCTTTTATTTTTATTTGAATAAATAGATTTCAATTATTTCTAGGTAATGTCACCAAATCTTAATAGTATTTTTGAAATATTTGATATAATTCGAAGGCGACTGTTGACATGTGCAGATGTTAATGTTAATTTAGACAGAATTTTGTCGAAACGTCTCATCAACTCGATAAACGACGATAAGTCAATATAACGGGAAGAGAAATAATTCAGTAAATATGTGTAGACATGAGTTCATGTTCATTTAATGATTTAGACTTGGGAGAAAAAAAGAACAAAACAAAGAGAAAAAAGTTACCACCGAAGAAAAAACTATATAAAATGCCACAAATAACAATGTTGAGTATCTAAAATATGGAAAAATTATATCACTAAGATCTGATTACGATTGTTGTTTTCATCAAGAGCACGAAACAAGAAGAATCAACAAAACATATAATATATTCTGATAATGTAATATATTAAAAAAACGAGCTAATGAAATAGCATAAATATATGCACACCTCGCGTCAATTTTTTATGCATATTTCTTTCTGTTAGGTATTTTTCTACGTGATGATGAAACAAATAGCAAAAAACAATGATATGTACGAATGTGTGTTTTTCTCTCGTTGTTTTCTCTCTCTCCCTCCCTCCCTTTATCTTATATTGTTTATTCTTTTTCTATCAAGCCCAAAGTTGTCGATTTTTTAGACAACGTAGACAAGGGCGTGCGCACTTTCACATTTGTTCCTACTGACTGACTGGCATGCAAGCCTAATGCAATAGATTACAATGTATATTCTAGACGGTACGGGCAGTTGAGGAAAAAAACAAAAACTTGCATCGTCAAAAATCAAGACAAAAAAGTGCCGATGAATGTGAATGAAAACTTTGAAACTCAATAAGAAGAAAATAAAAAATATCTTGTTTTTTCATTTCTTCTACCAAGCGGAAAACTAAATTAGATTTCATTTTTATCGAAAAATGAACCTGGATTGTTATTTACATAAAAAAAAAATTCTTTCGCAATGAAATAAAAAATCAACGAACCGGCGAGAGAAATGAAAGCCTCTATTTAAAGCCAAAAGCTATAGAATTTCGCTATAATAAGTGGAGATGGTAAGCAGCATGACTTTTTTCTTGTGTTAGAGCACTATGCGGACAATGACTAATGTTTATTTTCCACTGCAAAATTATCAAAAAAAAAAATTCTTTTTTTTTACTATTCTGTGTTTAAATAATGTCACTTCATCATAGAATTTTGCAGTAGTTCTAATAAACCCGTGAAGTACTGACTCAATACAATACTTTATAGAAAGAGATTTTATTTAACCAAGTGAATAGACATGTCTGAAAATAAAATTCTTTCCCTCTCTCTCTCTCGCTCGCCGTTTCTCTATATTAAAAATTGAAGTTATTTTTATTATTATAACGAGATAAGGCACGATGTCCTTGATATAAACAAAAACAAAGCAAATAGCGTTCTTATTACAAGTCAATACGTAAACCTAGTATTTCTCATTATATAAATAGTATTACTTGATACGTCTTATTTCAACAAAAACAAATTATTTTATAGATTTTCTTCTTGTCTATTGATTGGCATTAGTTAATTTAATTAAATATTATTACATAGCATGATGTTTTTAAGAAATCATATTTCCTAATGAAAGGAAATTATAAATTTCTCATGAGACAATAGACTGGTTTTATTCAATATGGAATGGTATTATTCTTTGGTGATTTTCGTCTGTAATAGAAAAAACAAGTGCATATATATATATATATTTGAAAATGATTGATGTATTTCGTCGAGCATTCATCATTGAGTACTAACATTACCTGAACGCATAAATAACTTTACCTTTGTATTTTGAAACTTCCCCTAAGAACATATTCTAAGAAGAAAAAAACAAGATGTACTTACATGCAATAGGAATATACTTCGTGAACTTATAATTAATGACAAGCAAGATTTTCCCCCGTTTTATTCTCATTTCCAGTTCAGATAATTTGAAGTATTATGCTAAAACTTTACCATAAGCATATTTTCATGAAATCCGATAATTGATTGTCTATGTTTTTAAAGATTAATTTTAAGAAACGAAAATCATGATGATTAGAGGCATTATCCATGAAATGGTCACATTCGCCGTTGTATATTTTTCCAATGTAGACCAAGCAGATGAATGATTATTGATCTTCATTCAAACTAGTAGTTATTTAAAAAATTGATACTAAAATTTTTCATGATTAAAAGTATTGATTTTCAGTCAATATTGAATAAAAGCATAAATATTTACAGAAAAATATCGAGTCTATTCACAAATTTAATTTTAATCAGGTAAATTCATTGGGAAAAAACTTTCTTCGAGTTACCCAAATCATCTACAACGTGATTTAAATGAACATAAGACCGATAGTGTCAATACTAAATCTACAAGTCATATTATTCATTTTGCCAAGAACTTCTTAGATCTTATTTTCTAAAACGAGATTCTCTCGACGTTTTTCCTTTGTAAAATTCAATGGGAATCTTAGTTCTTTTAGATTTATACCTAAGAACGCTATACAATACTCGTGAAGGTTCGATAATAAGTAATATGACGTAAGGACACTTGCTCTATACTAATGATTTGACATAAACCTCAGTAAATCGATCTATCAAAAGACGAATGATTAATTGAAGCTATTCGGCATGAATAAAATAAAACCGCTTTCTTGCACTTATCATTATAAAACCATCAGATTTTACTCGATAGAATGATGAATAAATGTAAACAAACTAACATTTTTCGATACTTTCACCGGCGTTCTCATTCTTCAATGTCTTGAATCACAAAAGATAGCAATCATTTTCTTTCTTAACTTAATTGTTACTCAATAAATTTTTCTGAAGGAAAAATGTTTGCTAACATGTGTGACTATTCAAGGCATTCGAATAGCAAATAATGAAAATGCGCAATTATCAGTAATGTACGAAACGGTATACTAATTATTTTAGAATTCTAGCTTCTTTCTTGTCAACGTATTTACCATGCACGTACACAAACGTTAAACTTCAAAAAGTAAATAAACATATCCTTGTTGTCAAATAAGATATCATCGGGAAATATTTATAGATTGATATACTCGAGAGCGTGGATGTGGGTGTGTTAATGGAAGATATACACCCACACCCACACACCCTCAAGTCATGTTGGTTTTTAAAAAAAGAAAGCTATGTTTAGCAATCTTCTACGAAAAATTATAACAATAGGGCTTATCATCATTACTACGTATATCAGAAGATGTACTAATTCGAAGTCGCTTCTCTTTTACAACCTTTACACAACAATAAATAGTGCATTATTCTACAAATATCCTATATTTACACGTGTACTTACTAAATACTTCATTATATGTAACACATAGCGATTTGCTCTTATAGACATTCTTTATTGGTATTGCTCATATAAATGTAGACAGTATTGACTGGCAGCTAATTTTATGATTGTAATGATAAAATCAAACATCATTTTTTTTTCTCTCAAAGGTTATAAACTGAATAGAAATTTAAATTTACGTTTTTGATGTGTTATTGCTGAAATAGTGAATTAACTTTTTACTTCAATAATCTAAAGTAGTAATTCAAAACATGTTTTTAGCGATTCTAAATATTATTCCAGCGATGCATAAGCCATAAATTTTAATCAACTTCAAATGAGAAATATTTTTTTGGTATTTCTTGAGTTTATTTTCATCAGAAAATATTCTATTCGATAATCTATGCAAAATATTGAACTTCAAGGGAATAATCAATTTAAAAGCATCATCTATCTATAATTTCTATTCAATTGACACCAAGAAAACGGAAAAAAAAGCATATCTATTTTACTTTTATTTATGATTCTATTTATATAAATTCGTTTTACTTTTGCCAGTCTCAAATGTCATGAGAGATAAGAATTTATTGTAGGAAAAGAAAAACATTCTCAGGAGAATGATTAATAACGTCAAGAATAACTATCTATTGAACAGCTAATGATATTATACTATGTGGCCGGTTGAACAAAATGACATGTGCATTAAGCTTACTCGTAAAATTTAGTGGAATGAACAAAAAAAAATCAGGTGGCTCATATTAGATAGACATTTCAATGAGAATTAATCATACGTTTGAAGCAAGTACCTGATTAAAGATTAATATTAAGATCAAATTGGAAAGAACGATATATTTTTTTTATGTACGTAATTTGTTAGATGCACTTGGAATTTAAAAAAACCTGCATAATTTAAGTAATAATGCATTGCAATTTGTTTACTCTATTCTATGAGCCGGATGTGTACGAAAAAAAAAAACCATTCCGTAGGAAATGCACTTACCAAGCCGTCATAAGGTGGCCGACCCTTGTGTCGTTATCTTTACTTAGTATTTCTCGTACAATGAAAATCTTTTTTTCCTAATCGATCGAAAGAAACTCTTATTTTCTCCGTTCTGCTATATTCGATTCGTTCATAATAAAGCAATCAATTGTTCTAACTCGTATAGATGTCGTTACATGCAGTTTATAATAACACAAAAACAAAACAGGGATATTCATTTCATAGGGAAAAAGTAATGTCGGAAAATATTCTGAGTTATCGATGATGGAATATGAGTTTAAAATGTGATTGACTTTAGCTGGCATCGCTTCAATCAGTAAGATTAAGGAGGTGCAATTTCACCGTGGTTACGTCGCTAGTCATGAGTGTAGGCCAAGTGGTTGAATCTCGTATTGTACCCGCATTTCTTTTCTTTTCATCGACAGATGGTATGAAGAAAAACAAATACGACATTGCAGTAAAGAAAGTTATTATTATAATAGAAATGAAAACACCATAAAAAATAGTTCGTGCAATCAGTGGCAAAGCGTATTAAAATATTCATCTAACGATAAAGAATCTTTTTGAAGGCGTTCATACTGCTATAAAGTGGTTTCATTATATTCATGTTGAACACGTAATCGTTCTTGAAATTTGTTCAAGTTGAGATGAAAAGTGGTGGTATTTGTTTTTTTTTGTGTGTAGGCGGCAGTGTCAGCTCTTCAATGTAGATGAATGAATCGAAAGAATTTCACGATATTGCTTACTAATAATAATAGCGATGCTCCTTTACAGAAATTTACTTTAATTTCATTTTTCTAAGACAAATTTCTTCAATAAATTTATGCTTTTAAGAAAAAGAAGAGTCCTTCTAAGTATGTCAATAGGTTGGATTAGTATAGCAATTGATCATGCAATTATAGGGTATTCAAATCATAGTTTAACAGTAGTAGTGCATACGATATTCATATTGATTCAACACATCAATAATAATACCCTTGACGAATTGAATTATAAATATTTAATATGTACGAATGAGATTTGTTTACTTGATTGGGCGAAATTAAATATACTCAAAATAGAATGTGAAATTTATCTGGATTTCATTTTTTTGATTTATTATGGCTATTGGTACGATGAAAAAAAAATTCAATCGATTAAATATTTGTGTTTATAAAAAAAACACGACAAATAAATGAAACCTGAAGTATTCGATGGCTGCATTGGTAATCAAATAAAAATATAAGATTTATTTCGTCGATAAAATAACTTCTACAATAAAACAAATCTACCGAATTTCTAAGCAAACGATGCACATATCATTGGAAGAGAAAAATATATAAATAAAAAGAAAAACCTATTTGTACTAGAAATTTAACTGAAGAAATCTTTATCATCATCATCATCATCATCATATTTCATATTTGCTTTTGAGCTTATTGATGTTGCAATAGGTGAATTATTATTCTTTTTTGTTATTGATGATGACGATGTTGATTTTTCATCGTCATCGTCGTACAAAATCGAACCTGTCGTTGCTTTCTTTAACCATGAAGATGATGATGATGGTGGCGGCTGCACATTCGTTGTTTGAACAATCTTCTGTGCAGATTGTCTTGTATCTGACGATGACTCATCATCAGAATTTGATGATTGTGTTCCGGCATATTTTTCAATGACATGCTTCAAAATACTTTTAGCTTTGTCATGAGCATAGAAAACATTTGCCGGTAATAATGCGACAGCAAATTTATTTGTTAATGTTCGAGAATTCATTATATGTAATTTTAATAATTGGGCAAAATGATCAACTAATCTTAACCATAATGTACGATCTTGTTCAGGTAACATTTGCGTAATAATATCTTTATTTAAATCTTTTACATTCGATGAAAGAATATCTTCTGTAAATAGACAATTATTTATTGTTGTACGTCGTACTGTTGATGGCAATTGATCGAGTATAACCATCGATGTTGTTGTTGGATCGACATCTTTTAAGGAAAATGTTTGTTGATCATTAGCTATGTCGAGTATGGTTCGTTTTTGTGCTATTGTTGGCGGATCAAGACGATAGAATTTCTTTTTATCGATTGTATCCTTTAATTCTTTTTCAATATAATCAAGTAGAAAGTAAAGACCCGTACGATTTAATTCCATTCGAAGGGAACCGTTTCGTCGAGCACGCGAAAATGAACTTATTATTTCATTGGATTCAGAAATTGATTGTTCATCTTGTTGTTGATCTTTAATTTCATTATTTATGACAGGTGTTGACGGAGAAATTGTTCGTTCGAAACCAACCTTAAGTTGATCTTCATAACGTTTAAATAACATCGAAGAATCAACATCATATGATTGACGATTTATTGGCACTAAAATGAAAACAAAAAGAGAAAGGATTGTTTACTGGAGAGAAAAAATTTTTTTTTTCAAACTATTTACCACTTTGCCGAAGGTTTCCATAACTTTCTAAGTGATCTTGTTGTTTGACATGCTGAGCTAAACGATCGTATTCGTTACTACTATTAATATTTGTACTTGTATGATTTGATGTTGGCTTTTGCCAATTTGGATAATTTGCTTCTAAATAATTGACATAATCATTTTTTAAATGTATTAAATTTTCCGCATCAGAATGTAGTTTTTCTAAATGCTGTTGAGCTTGTGTCAGATCATTAAGTAGTTGTAAATTACGTTGTTCGGCCCGTTGAGATTCGTGATTAAGACGTGCAAAATAAGTCTGAATATGTTGAATTTGTTTTCTCTTGTATGGAACTGAATTATTCATTGACATGAATCGTAGTTTTTCTTCAAGTTGAACTCGTTGTTGTTCATTTTGTAGAATTTTCGAACGTAAATTCGTAGTCCGTTGATGATAATTATTAAATAGAGGTGCCATAGGTGGCGATGATGATGGGTTCATCTTGCTGTTTGTCCTCTAGCAATGACAAACACGCCAGAATGAAAAAGAAATACTCTCACATATATGCAATACCCTCAGATAAAAGTAAAAGGAGTTCTCACATTCTTATCGTTTCTTTCTTGTTTTTTTTGTTCTCTCTTTTGTAACATTGTCATGAGCAACCGTTGTTCTGCTGCGTCATTCACGCTGCTTTAATCTGATAGAAAAAAAAGGAGGAAAAAAACGAGAGAAGGTCACTGATTCAAAAAAAAAAGGAGTTTATATTTGTATCAAGATTTCTCGTTAGAATAAATGATTGGACAAATCGACGTGTGAAACAAAAAGAAAATGAGCAAGTGATTCTCGTACGAATATAGAGGTAAGTTTTGTTGGTTAGTCAAATAGACCTTAGGGTCGTGATGTTGTTATTCTTTTAATTTGCACAAAAGTAACGAGTAGAGAATTAAGCATATTTCGAATTTTTTCCCCTTGTGTTTTCTTTTTTCATTCCATTTTTTTTTGACTTGATCGGTGTACAGCGATTCATTTTTCATTTGTGTTGTTCGCTGATTCCATTACTTGTTTTAGCTGTCATAAAAAAACAAAGAACATAAATTCAGTCGGCACAATAACACGATGGCAAAATTTCTTTCACGCTTATTCAGTGGCTCATCAAAACGCTCATTTCGTGGTTCACAACCATCAATCAATGACAACAATCAACAAACTGGTGCAGGCTCAACTCTTCGCTCGGCTTCATCTCTAGATAACCTCTCAACATATAAAATTTATCCAAGAGAACTTGAAAAACATAAACTACACAAAGCATCATGGGAAGGTAATCTTCACAAAGTAGAGCGTCTTGTGCGTCCAAATGTAATCGATCTTCAAGACGAACAAGCCCGAGTAAATTATTTGTTATTTTTTGCCTAATAGAAATTGGTTTTCTCTTCTTCTTCTAAATAGACTGCATTGCATTTGGCTGTTGCCAGAGGACATTTGAATATAGTACTTCGTCTTGTTACTGAACGTGCAAGATTAAACATAGTTGATAAACAAGAACGGACACCCTTAGTTATGGCTGTTATTAGTAGTACTCAAAATCCACCATTATTTTATCAAGTTTGTGTGGTTTTATTGCAAGGTGGAGCTGATTCTTGTAAGAATATTCATAATGATCTTCATAAAAATTATATGTTCAATTTTTCTTTCTCTAGTTATTAATGCTGTGGATATTCAGGGAAAAAATGCTTTACACTATGCAATTGATATTCAAAATGAACATCTTGTTGATCTCTTTCTATCATTGCAACATTGTGATCCAAATTTTNAGCGCCAAGTAATCAATCAGTACCGGCTGTATTGAGAGGCAGTTCATTGCAACCTGCGGCGCATGGATCAGCGCCAAGTAATCAATCAATATCGGCTCTATTCAGAGGCAATCCACTGCAACCTGAAGCACATGGATCAGCACCAAGTAATCAATCAGTGCCGGCTGTATTGAGAGGCAGTTCATTGCAACCTGCGGCGCATGGATCAGCGCCAAGTAATCAATCAATATCGGCTCTATTCAGAGGCAATCCACTGCAACCTGATGCACATGGATCAGCACCAAGTAATCAAGCATTATCGGATCTACTGAGAGGCAATCCATTACATCCCGATGACAACGCATTTATTAGGCCTGGTGCAGGTAAGTTTTTCCCTTTTTTTGTTTTCCTAATTTTTCTCAATTCTGTTTTTCTTCAAGTAGCTTCACAAAAACAAACGCCATCAAAATTTCAACGTCACGACAGCGATACTTCATCAGCAAGTGGATCGAGTGGAAAATCACCTTCTATTACGAATCACACTGGTGGACGGCCGTTGTCACCGAAGAAAAATGTTACAATTAGCGCAATGATTAATGGATTACCACATCCTGATCATGCGGATTCAAATTCAAATTCATGGACATTTGATCAACCGTCAACCTATAGAAAAGAAGCAGCTGTTCGAACAGCAACACGTATTACAGAATCGGACGATACATCAGCCACAGGATCCGATGATGATAACCCGGCCTTTAGAGTTCAACCGCCGCAACAATTTACTGCTTCATCAGTATTTGCAGGAACGGCTACGAAACAAAAGCCCGCTGATAGTGAGAGTGATGAAGATTCAATTGAAGCTACTGTTAGACGGCTTAATGCACAAAAAGCATCGCTTGGCATTCAAAATTTAGTTAATCAAAGTATTACACCTATTCATAAAACTCCACAACCACAAATTTCAATTGTACAATCACCAGTAAGCGAAGATTATCTCTGGTCGACATCATCGAAAACATCAAATAAAGAACAGCAACCAAAAGGAATCGATGCTTTGGCACATAATCAACCGTTACTGAATAAAAAATCAAATGAACCAACGTGGGATGATTCTCGTCCATTAAGTGCTGATTTTGAACGAAAGCCAACTAAACAGAAATCTCAATCGTCAATTAGTTCAAATGACAGTGATTCAGATCAAGATAAAAAATCGTCGACTATCATTCGAGCACCAACACAAAATGGAACTATAACAAGTTTAATTAAACAAACTATACGGCCAACAGATTCTACTCAAAAAGAATCGACAGGTGTGGAAAATTTAAGAAAAATCATTGAAGACATTCAACAATCATCAAGACCTAATCACAATTCGTAAGACAAAAAAAAATTGTTTTGTTTAAAATCAAATCTTTTCTTTATCTTTTTAAGAATGTCGCCAAAACAAATCACTGGGAGACCTGTTGCTGCTACATTAGTAACTCGTAATGATTCATCATCATCAAGTACGAATACATTCATGGAAGAATCATCACGTACATTAGCTGTTAGTGTAGCAACCAATTTAAAACAACCACCCTATCATGACGATCCAGATAAATGTAAGATTATCGATAGTTTCAATAACAAAAAACTACAATGTTCGAAAATAATAAGTACTTCTCAGATTTCCTAGCTGCGAAATTCGTTTTCTATTGCAATAAACAATTTTTACATACAAGAAAAGAGACACACTCTGATTTCAATCAGTATATTATATCGCGCCATTTTAATCGTTCTTTTCTCTAAACAAAATTCAATGACATTTCTCATCCGAACGCAAGGCCAAGTACGCTCTCTATTATCTCTAATGAGTAGTATGCATACTACTGAAGTAAAACAATATATTACTAAAAAGAAAAATAGCCGATCTGACTCTTTCACAAATTATTCAATGAGCAAATAACTCTTGGCTGTTTTGTTTTGTTTTGTTTTGCATTTATAAATGTTAATCTTCAAGAATTTACCTTACCTATGAATGATACTTCTAATTCGTGCAAATCTATAAGTATTATCTCACATTCTGTAAATTTTTCAAGTACTAAAATTACTAGACTGAAGTCTTTAGTTCTTTTTGTTTGGAATTGTTTAGGCTAGAAAAAAAATTTGATTCGCTGATGTCAATAATTTGGCCAATTATTCTATCTTAGATCAATTACCTATCTACATTTGATAGCAATAGTGTTTCAATTACGAAACATGCATAACCTATTTATATCGAGGCTTAGAACTGTAATATTACGATGAAATAATAGAAGCATTAAATTTAACGAGAATAGAAGAAAAACAAAGCCCAAGTTTTGACTTTTACAAATAATGATGTATATAATGAATTTACAACTTACGTTTGTTTTTTTTCTTGAAAAATAAGTCAGCGTCCAATAATAAAAAAAATTAATTTACATAGCAAATTTTCAATCGCAAAAACAGGATCCGAATAAAACAGCACAAAAATGAATAACATCGCATTGATCCCATAGAACATCAATGAAACCAATAAAAGCAGTTTTTTTAAATCTTCTTTTCTCTCTTGTAGTTCATTGGCCTCAGACAACAAATGACCGCAATGATTTCAAACATAGTACAGACAAATATTCCAATGAAATGATTTCACCGTCCCAACGGCAACCGTCGCGGAACTCGATTCATAATGAATTTAATAGTTTACGAGGTTCGATGTCATCTTCGACATCGTCCATTCAGAATAATATGGTGATGATAGTGAAAAAAAACGAAAAATATTTAGAATTAGTTTTGTTTTACTTTAGGAACGTTTAAGTGAACTTAAAGCAGATATAAAACAGATTGAACGAAAACAAGAAGATAGTTTGGAATTAAAACGACAATTAAAAGATATGGAAATAAAAAAGAATAATTTCGAAGCATTGTACAAGAAAAATGATCAATTATTACGTGAAACAGAAACAAAATTAGAAAAAGAAATCAGCGAAAAACAACGTTTAGAATGGACAACAAAGAATTTAAATATGGAATTAAAAGGTGTCAAACAAAAACTTCAATCATTAGAAGAAGAAAAAGATATATTAAATCAACGATGTCTCAAATTAAAAGAAGAACGAGATAACTATGGTAAATATATATATATATATATATCTTATAATAATAACAACTTCAATCTGTATACTACAGGCTAACGATTGCCTTGTACGGACAATAGAATACGTTTTCTATTTGATCTAGTAAGGCTATAACGGAAGTCTTTTGATTTAACATTAAAGGAAGTAAATTTCGATTAGAACTGTTTTTTTTTACAAGGACATAGTTGAACGATGGTACTCACCTACTAAATTTCAAAGGATTCTTTCTGTCTCGATAGCTATTGAACATTGTGAAAGTAGTCTCAAGCGAAGAAAAAATACAGAAATGAGTTTATACATTACTCCAGTAAATTTCAGTGATTCGGTTGAATCAAACAAAATCTCAGATCATTGCATCATGCCATGAGCTTTTTGAAAAAAAAGAGAAATCTTCAACGAATGTCATTGAACGTGTCAATAATCAAAGCATTTGTTTCAAACATTTCACGAAGTAAAAGAAAATTTGATGAAACTTGACGTTGGCTTATGTTCGAATATCTAAAGATAATTAGACGTAAAAGTTACGTGATATGATTGTGACATATCATAAATAACTCTTTATCAAGATTATATTGCACAAACATCAAGTAGACCTGTCAGAATGTCTAGAGAGAATTCCTATCCGTTCCAGCTGTTGGTATATTTTCTCTAACTAAAATCTTAGACTATAATAGAAATTGTTTATTTACCTATGAATTTCCATAATTTAATCATCTGCATCATAGGGCCTCTTCCATCAAAATAATTTCCATCATCAATTCGAAGTAGATAATTTCACATTGTCGTAGACTTGATATCAACGATAAATATTCACAATAATAGCTAACTGCAAAGCTTAACTTGAAAAGTGAAGACCACTAATGCATTTGAAATCTTGACAGAATCTATTATTTATCATAACGATTGTAAACTTCTTGAGAACGATGAATCGCATTGTATATATACATATAACTGCCACTTTTATCTTTCATATGTGTGTGTACAGTCTGTTTCATTGTTAAAACAGTTGGTCATATTTTTATTTTTGTTCCTTTTCACCGGTCGGTCAGTATTTAAATGTGCAGTTCATTATAATAACATGACGTGTACATCGAGAGAAAAAATTCAAATGAGTAAAATAAAATTCACCATGTCAGACATGACTCTCAACCATTTCTAAGGCACCAGACTTCATTCACAACATGTTCAATGAAACGATTCGCCATGAAAGTATGCCCGGTTAGTAAATTATTGATTGAAGTAATTCAATCCCATCATCGTCTTGCTTTTAAAGAACAAAAGTTGAACTCGACTCTCATTATTTCGTTTAGATGAGAAACTGCGCGTTCATCAAGCGACTACATTACAAACAGCAGCAGCCGGTATCCTACGCGAAGAAGATGTCGAAAAAATAAAACTACGTCATCGAGAAGAAATGAAATTATTATCAGCTGAAAATGAAGATCTTCATCAACGTACAAAACAATTGCAATCCGATTTACAATTACATAAAGAATCACTCGATGTAACAATACGTTATAAGATTGATTTAGAAAAAGCACTAGAAGAAAAAACATTTCTACAACATGAATTGGAACGTTTAAAACATGAAAAAGATTTAATTGAACAAGAAAAAATTGACTATAAAGCGAAATACGATAATTTACAAGAAGAAATACGTGTTATACTTTTGGACCGGTCGAAACTGGAACAGAAATTAACCACTGAATTGCAAGACCAAATGAAACAACGGCAACGTTCAACAGATGATATTAAAAAATATAAAACACAAATTGAACAATTAAATCTTAAATTAGGCGATGCCGAAGCTCGTTTACTTGTTTTACAAACGCAAAATGAAGCATTACTCGCATCGAAAGATCGAGAAATTAAAAATGAATTCGAAACACTTACACATCGTCTTAATATGATTGAAACAGACAAATTAAATGCTGACCAACGATTTCATAACGAACAGAAAGATATAGCAAACAAACAGCAACATATTTTGCATGAACCACTTGTTTTTCTTACGTCAACACCGTTAAGTAATGCTGTGCAACAACAACAACATCATCATCAGCCACATTCTCCGTAAGTTGAGTAATATCATCATTGAATTCTTTTTGTTTCCGAAATAATAAAGTAACAATAACAACTTGAGACTTTAAACTCTTTCCAATTGATCTTCTAATGAAATCATCATTTTAGTTCTTCACCGTGCACTAAATGCGATACACTTCAACGAAGTTATGAACAAGAACGTGACCAACGTATTCAAACTGAAAAAGATAATGAACGTTTACGTGACGTTGTATCACGTCAAAAACATCAAAATGAATTAAATAAATCGATTCAACAACATCAAGACTATGAAAATCTCATGTCGGAAAATTCAAAACAAATTCGTTCCGAAACTGAACGCGTCAAATATGAACTTGATCGTCTTAGATTTGATTTCGATAAATTAGTTTCAAATTATGAGCCACCCAATAATTCACAGCAACAAGCGCAATTACATTCACAAATCGATACATTACGTCAATTTTATGAGCAAGAATTTCGACAACAATTACTCTTATCAAAATTAACCAATGGAGCGAATCCACTGCCAATCGTACACAGTTACAATCGAACATCGTCACCCATCAAACATGATGAATATGAACATTCATTAAATGGAAGCTTAAATTGTTCAGTATGTGCGAATAGTCGTCTACTAAAAGAACGACTTGAAAGTGCTATTGATACAAGTTTAGCTGATCAGCGTATACAAACAATTAAACAAATGCCGATTCTACCGCGAATAACATCTCCATTAATAGAAAACCATAATAGTGCTACGTCCTCCTTTGATCTTTGGCGTAAACGTTATTATGTTTAAATAAAAATTTCAAAAATATATTATCAATTAAGAACAGTGAAGCTTATGCGTTTGTATATAGCTAGAAGGTAGCGTTCTTTCTTTTGAATACTTCGCGGTTTTTTTTTGTTGATTCTTAAGATTTTCTTTTTCGCTCATGAAAAATATACAAAAATATTCTTTTAGATATATCAATGAATTATAATAAGCATGTTCCATTTTTCTGATCACTGCACGTGAATAATTAAAATAATAAGATTAATCAAATCCGATCGCTTTCGATTATTATAATTTTAATGGTATCTACATATTTTCTAAAAATACAATAATTTGATTCAATAGACATACGATGAATATGGTAGTAATTTAAAAATAACCTGATGGATAGTTATGGAAGAATCACTTGAACTCTCTGTTCATCAAGAGATTCACTGTATCAATGCCAACGATAAAAACTCTATTTGATCAGAGCAAAACTGTAAGGCTCGGCGCTGATTTCAAAAAACAAAGTTCACTAAATTTAGCTTCATATTGGTCCGAGCATGTATTAGCCAATCAACAATCTGTTTTTCAGATGATTTTTAAAGCCTAGTCTATGTACGGCTTCTTTGTTCGGGAGTTCGATTAAATTTTTTATCGTGTCATTCATGCAGTTTCTCTGACGGCAGGAAAACAGTTGTCACTAAACTATGTAAAAATCAATCCGGATGTTTACGCTAAATCAGAATATTCCATTGGCAATAATGGTGCAGAGATAGAAAGCAGAAGCTAGATAAACTCGAAAGAACGCAACTTAGCAATAAAATGTACGAGTACATTCGAAGGTCATCGCCTAGAAATTCTTTGGTGATAAAACAATACGTCGTAACTACTATAAAAAAAGAGTACTAAAAATGTTACGAAATTGACAATAAATATCCGAAAAATGTATTGAGTGATTGTATTTAACAGCCTGATTTTATCTGGCATCGTATTAGATTTCTTTTACTGTTAAATCATAAGAAATTATTTTCAATGAAGAATCAAGCGCCAGTATTTCTACTTTATGAATAGAAATCACTCTGAAAGAAGTTATGCGTTGATCAATGGCAACAATTTCACATCAGCTATCTTTCGTACTTAACGTTGATAATTTCAGTCTATTATGTGCGGCTGCATCATCTGATTCCTATGCATGTGAATTCTTGACTATTAGAAAAGAGTACGCTCGCGAAGAAAAACCAACTAGCTCGATAAGTAACATTAGTGCAAATAATAAAGCACGAAAATCATTAGCGTGATCATTCAGAAACACTGCTTTTTCAGAGTGTTCAAACTCTAGAAATGAGTTTGCGTTCGCTGTTAATCTATTTTTGGTACTGTTTAATTTGATTAGAGCGATTCATAATTGATTAGGATTTGTCTGAAGAATGAAAAAACCGACATATCAAAAAAATATTCTGGTACTTATCGATTGCAAAGTGCATCAATTCTCCATTGAGAAAAGAAAAGAGAAAATTTTCAATTGAACAGCCGATTTAGAGTGCTATTGTAAACAAAAAGAAAACGTTTCGATTTCATATTTCTTGTTTTATCCACGAAAACAAAAAAAAACTTCTTCAACACGTCAAATATATGAGTTCAGCGCTAGATTATGCAATGTTTTAAGAAATCTTTTTGTTTTCATCGTCTTCATAAACAAATAAAATAATAATCTAATATTTTCTAATCATAGGGAGCACTCTAAGTACAAGTTTCTCTAAAAAAAAGCAAATACTGCGTAATTAGCAGAGAAATATTTTATACAATAGACAATCGAAAAAGCATAGATTTATTGTTTATGAGGGTCGATGTTTGAGTTTTTAATTTATTTATTAATTTCATCTTGCAAGGGTGAATATCGTTCATGATGTACTGAACTGTTGTGTTTGGCTTCTAATTGTTCATGCAGCCGAGATGATCCACGATGCATATCATAAACACTATCAGTATATCGTTTGCCTTCTTGACGCGCAGATTTACCACGTGTTGCTGCTACATAAGCAAGAAGAGCAGTGCCGAAGAGCGATAAAACAACACAGCGTGCTCGAAATTTATCTTTAGTTTTCTGATATACACGATTACTAGAACAAAAAGAGTAGTTGATAAGTCACTATGTCTAATCGTTAATTTTAACTTACGGCATACTATCAGGAACATCACGATAGCGCCCGTAAAGTCCACCTAAAACCATCACTACTTTTGCTATACTACCAAGATGTACAGCTAGACGAAAAAGTAAATGATGAATTTATAAAACTCGAAATATGAAGAATACTTACGAACACTATCAAATGATTTTTCTACAGGCTTGGCTTCTTCAGCAGGTAGACTCTTGGATGGATCTACATTCGTTAACTCAGCGCGACGTTGACTACTAGTCGTCAATGGTGCACGAGTTTGCCGAAGAACATTTGAATAAAATGCACGATAAAGAAGTGAGGCTGGGCGTAACATTGATTTGCTTGCAACGGACATGATTGAAAGAAGAATATAATGATGTTTCTGTTATATTTCGATTCAATTAGTTTACAGTAAATGGGTACAATTGTGGTTCACGAGGGGCGCTGACGCGATTGCTGATAGAACGGAGGAAAAGAAACTTATTGGCTCATACCCTTTAATCAATGACGAACGAACAACGAAAGGTGGCGCATACGACTGTGTCGATGATGAAAGACAGACGGGAAACCGGTGATGTCAAAAATCATTTGTTATTGTACTAAACGAATGAGATATATTATGTTTGACAAATATTAGTTTTTTGTCATTTAATTTCCAGATCTTTATTATAAACATGGAGATCGTCTATACAGTCGATGTCAAAATGAAAAATGATGGTGAAGATTTTAAACATATATTAAAAATGGATGTATCATGTTTAAATATTCTTTCTTTTTCAAGTTCCTATTTATTTCCAATAAATCAAAAATATTCTCAAGAAACAAGTTCATCGTAAATAATGTTTTGAGTCCTTTTTTTTGTAACAGTAAAAAGTAACGCATATTTTGCATCCGATTTTTAGATCTCAACAGCATCGAACAACAAAATCATCGTTTTGTGTTTATATTTGTCCACTTGAACAACCATGGAATTTTACTCTAATTACAACCTCAAGTTTGCCCGTTGTTCAACTTGTCTGGAATCTTGATGGCACACATTTACTGATCTGTAATGAAGCAGGACTTTGCCAAATATTTAAAATGAAGGTATAACAAAGATACGGAAATATTTTCTAAGAGACTTGCGTCTGACAGGTGAAAATGATTGTTGTTTGATGTCGTATCCTCAAGTTATGATCTGATATCTATTGATACGAAAAAGTTGAGATTTTTTAAAAAATGTTTCCGAACAAGAAACCTATGTTTCAACCTTGCGTTTTGTTCATCGATCCAATATGATTTTTATTTCATTTAGAACGATGGTATCAATAATATGGAACATGTTTATGAATACAAAATACACGAAGATATTCTTTGTGCCAAATACATTTTCCCAAGACATGCAGTTAGTATTGCCAAAAACGAATCGTTATCATAATTGATTTGTTCAATTCTCTTAGATAGTAGTTGACCTTTATAGCAACGAGTCATTTTATGAACAAGGATATCAATCATCGCCATTATTAAATTATGCTCTCAATTCAGGCAATTTCATATGCGTTACCACATCTGGAATAGTAAGTTCTAATGCGAGTCATATTTTGGAGTTTACATAATTAATTTAGATTCACATATTACCAATTGATCGCTCATTATCTCCAATCAATTATTATCTTTCACAAAATGATCCACTAAGTGCTACGCTATGCGATATATTTCCTACCGAGAAAGGCTTTAATATCTCGCTTAGTGAGCATATCGAAGGTGCTCTTGTTCATTGTTTCGTAGTGGATTATGCTGCGTTAGAACCGAAAGTATCTCTCAATTCTTATCGTACTCGTGGCTTTCGTATCCCGTCGTGCTATGGAAAACTTGAATCATTATTTTATTTTCAACGAAATGGAAACGCTTGTATACTAACACATTTGACGTCATCTACTAGTGATTTAATCGAGCTTTATGAATACAATCTTGAACATGAAGAATGGATATCAATAACCGTTTTAAATTCATCTGAAAAACGTATTACATCGATATCATTGCCACTAAATTCGCTATTTGTTCAAGATGACGCCTATCAAGGATTGTTCGGAAGACAAATTCTATTTGCATTCAACGATGGTTCAATAGCGAGCTTTGATAAATTAAATCTTACAAATCGAGAACAATGTTTCTCGACGCATAACAATGATTTCGATATTAATCAGTCAGACTTTCTAATTCGAATGCAACATACAAATTCTGGTAAGAGAAAAAAAAAGATCTTCGTACGATAGCTACTGAATTTCAGTTAGTATATTTTCTAAATAGTCAACCTCTAGAGAAATCGGTCTGTGTTTAATACGCGAAAGATGAATATTTCTTTTATTATATCAAAGAATGTTTAAAGATTACAAGTGAGAGATGTGAGTTTAGTACTTTTCTGACATATATGAAGACGCTTTCTCTAACCGCACCACATGTTTATCTGTTTTTCTCTTAGTCGAGGCCTGTTTGTAAAAAACTGATAAGCGATAAAAAGAATAAAAGGGTTCTCGCGTAAAAAACGAGGGAAGTGCGTCTTTCTCGATATTCTCCGGTATAACTACGAGAATCTTTTCGAACATTATCTCTAGTTTTACATCTCTTAATAGGTTCATGCTGTGTTGGTTTTACACATAATGGCAATATTGCTCTTCTTCGTACCATAAGTCTCAATGATGTTGCATCATTGTCATCGTCTATGGTTCGTCTTCTTGTTTATTTATTTGAACAGTACATTTTTCAAATACTTTATCCATTTGATATATGGGATATTCTATGTCTTATTTCAAATAATTCAATAATCAATCAAATTGTAGAACGATTAGTAGCAGATTTCGAAGTACAACCACTTGAATTTAAACGCCTTCATTTCGTTCGTTTTAAAGAATGTCTCTATCATTTACATCGTCTTGCGTGTCCATTTATGTTAGATAGTAGCGAGCATCTAACGAGTTTACTTATCTATCATGCTTTATTGATAACACGAGATTATCTTCGATTATTTAGCTATGAGCCAGCAAACCGAAATTTTGTTGATGCTGCACAAGAAATTTTACAACAATCATCATTCGTGCAACATATTGATGTAAAACGAATAAAATATTCAGGCGATCACCTAATAATCACAGACACAAATACAATAGATCCAACTCACTATCAATTAATATCATTTACACTGTTAATTAATTGGATATGTGATATTGTATTTTATTTTATCGGCTATTTACAAACGCAACGCGTATCACCGTGGTCGTCATGTCAAAATCTATTTACGGACTCAAGACAATTGCAATGGTTAAGAGAATTTATGATCTATATTTATATTCTCAATAGAACGAATAAAATTCCCTGTAGTAAAATTGCTGATTTAGCGTTATTTCACCAACAACAACCAACTCAATCGAACGAACAAAAAGATATTTTAAAAGACATTTATCATAGTTTAACAAAATTTAGCCAGAGAATTGAAGGTAAATTTAAGAATGTGTTTTTAAGAAAATATTAGCCATTAGTCTTATTGCTAGCACTTTTTCTGTGCAAAAAGCGTATCGTTTAGAGTTCAGGTTTGTTTTGACCTTGCGTTTCTAGCGAACATGATTCACATCTTTATGGTTAAAATGGAAAAAAAGAATTTCGCCTGTCATGCGAGTCTAAATTTTCAATCTACTGAAAATTCCCAATATCCCCTATTCACACTCGGTTGCTTAAATTATTAATATGTCTTGATCTAATAGCTTTTGTACATAATTTTCCTCGTTCAACCAAAATTTGAATGAATATTTTTTGAGATTTTTCAATGCTGCACTTATGAAGAAATTTACTAAGATTTCTTCATTCGCATTCGAGATTATCTATATTTATGTTTAGTTCAAAAAGTCAATATCTTCGATGAGAATTTTCTCGAAGATTGGTCAGCTTTCAGTGTTGAACTTTTACAATCAACAACGGAGAATATTTTTCCGCAATCGTACCCATTTCTTATTCCAAATTCATTAGTACCTCAAAAATTTATCCGTGATCGATTACCATCATTTGCTACTCATCTTTACGGCAATTCACCTCAAACTAACAATGTTGCAGATACTCAATTTGATATAATTACACTTGGTAAAATGTCCTTATCGTCAAATCCAACACATCGGCGATGTTTAAGATGCTCTAATTTTTCAAGAATATTGACTAGCAAACCTTATCCATTACTTTTCTATCGTTTGAACAATCGATGTTTATGCGGTGGTCTATTTTATATTTATAGTGAATCGAATACAAGTGAAAGAATTAAATAGTATTTGGATTCAAGTTTTTGCTTTTACTAACCTGGAAAATATATTTTTTAATAAATAGTTGAATTTTTTTAATAAAATTTATCTGAATTGTTCTAGTTAATAAAAACTAGAGACCAAAGATTTCGATGTCATACGGAAACGTTGAAAATATGTATATTGAATTCGTATAATTATAATGGAAATGACAAAAACTAATCAGATATTCTGCAGAGAGGAAACCGAAGAAATAATATTCTGAAAAGATTCTCCGTGACATTGTTATTCATATTTGATAGAGACAATAGTCTTTTTTTTAGATCAAGTTTGCTTGTGTCCTTTACAGCGAACTTGAGATTGTTTTTCAAAGCTCTCTCTCTCTCTCTCTCTATTTTAATCAGATGACCTTGAGTCGACCTGAAAAAAATATTATTCAACATTCTTATGTACTTTGATTTTAACTTTTTTCAATTTGATTGCAGTTTGTTCGTCCGAAATCTAGGGTATTCGCGAATTACATTTATAACGCCTAAATACAGCACAAACAAAGTCAATCTTATGTAAATTAAGAGAAGAAATTTTTCCCTTTGTAATAATCAAATCATAAATTAATTTCAAAGGAAAATCTTTTCAGAATATTACTTTAACGATAAAATCAAATTATGCGATTTTGTCATGTCTCTCTACGTTTTCGAGTGAAATTTTTCAACGAATATTGAATTGCACTGCTATTTAAAATGCAAAACATTTGATTCATGGCTCACAAATGTTTCTATAATAAAGCGACATATTGAATATTTAAAATTTTATCTTTTCTTCTGAAGAAATATTCCTTCGATTCAATGTCAGCCACATCAAGAATGCTAATGTTTAGTTGGCGACATCCGATGAATCAATAAACAGTGAATATTGTCTTTCAGTGATCAACAAAAAAAATTGAATGATTCATCAATTTCGATTCTTCATTTATTTATGCTGAAGAATATTGATCTTTCAAATCGATATAGATATCTATCGTAAGAGTTCAATTTTCAACATACTTTGCAAATTTTCTTGAGATTGGCTATTACTTTATTTCAAAACAAAAGAAGGTCAGGTTTCAGCTTGAAAAGTAACTTGTTCTGCATATAAATTATTCTGTTTTTTCTTCTTCTTCATTTCATTATATTTCATTGATATTTGTCGCCACAGCCGAATTAATATCATCAGCATTGCTGTAATAAAAAGTGCCCAAAGTAAATAATAATCTAAACCCTGAGTAATTAGATGTAATTCAGATGATATATAACTGCGAAAGGGCGGAGCAATGAAAATAACTGCAACAAACAAGTACGGTGTCCATATTGAGTAAAATTCATTTTCATAAACAAATTGATCCAGAAGAAAATAGATAGTAAGCAGAATCAAAGCCACCGATAAGCCAAGAGTTGTAGGGAATAGCATCATTTGAAAATATGAACTAATATAATAGATGAATTGCTCAATAGCAGCACAGATTGCTAAATAAATTACTGTTGTAGAATATAGAAAAAGACTATTTAAGATAAAATAACGATTGATTATGAAATCGATGGATCTAGCAAGAAAATGAATTATGAAATAGGAATAAATTTCTCAATGAAAATTACTTCAATTTCTCTTCATATATTATTAATTTTACTGCGACCGATCGGCAAATGATCATTAAACTAAAAGCACTAGCAAATAGACATGCACATGAAATCTAGAATACAATTTGAAATTTGAAATTTGAATTTTCATATCATGAGATCTACGTGATAGTTTAATCGCGCTTGACTAACTGCTTGAAAACCGAGAGCAAGAAGAAGCAGCAAACAAAGTAATGAATTGAATATATCCGGATGCCGATAAACATATCCAACATGAGAACGCCGTGGAATATATGATAATATGTAAATGAGCCAAAGCGTCTGGAAAGAAGAAAAACAAACAGATGTGAATATATTATATCAATAAAATTACTTGAAAAGTTTCTGCCAAGCAAATAAGAAAATTTTCAACCATTGGATTCGGTCGTAGATCTGGCGTATAAACTCGTCGTATTGACGTTGGTTTCATCATTGACAAAAAAGCTTTTCAATAAAAAAAAGATTATTTTTTTTAAATTCAACTTAAATATATTTAATTACGATAAATTTGTTCCATTTCGCTTGAAATATGAGCTCTTAGTGCATATAGAAGATAACATAAAGTTGTAAAAATCAATAGAATTATTTGTAATGTATTATGCTTATATCGTGACCCAACACTAAGATCTGTATTATGTTCGTTCGATGGAAAATCATCAGTGCTAAGAGTTAGATGCGAAAATTGTGCTTGTGGCTCCGATGGAGCATTTGACTATGACGATCAAGAAGAGAATGTAGTTTTAGAGAGAGAAAAATGCAAATTAGAATAATCTACCCTAGGATGCCTTGATCGTATATTATGTATATCAGACATGGAATCAGGACCAACATAAACAGATGCTGACTCTGAATCTTGATGTTGATATTTCGGTTGAAATTCTACCATGATAAATATTGACTGATCTGTTTCGCTGCAATAGTATCAAAGAGAGGTTTTTTAATGAATAAAATGTAAAAGAAAGAACATTTTGGCTTTGTCTATGAAATACATATCCAACAGCTGTCGCCAATTTTACAGTTTTCTTTTCTTTTAATCGTTGTTATTATATTTGTTTTTTATCTAACAGATTTTATGACCTTCAATAATATCTTCTTGAATATTCTCAATAATGAGACACACAAAAAAGATGTTACTACGCGAGATTCTATAGGAACCTATATGCCAGTAGCTGAACAAGAGTGAGATAGAAATTTAGTAATGAATCGTAAAACAAGAAAAAAGATTTGAAAAACAAAATGATGTCAATAAGATCTCATTCTCACGCAGTATTGTATTTAAATCACACCGATAAATTCGCAATGTGTAAATTAAAAACAATCTGTACTACATATATTTTGATACTATAACTGTTTTTTTTTTCATAACTACAGTTATTTTTAATCTTAAAAAGAAGACGATGGATAATTTGCAGATTTTTCTCATGTACAAAAGAAATTCTAATGGAAAGTAAAGTAATAAATCTCGGTTGTGATTCGAATTCGCTAACTAAAAATGATTGAATAATTTAAGAATGCTAACGAACGTTCTTGAAATGCACATAAGTTTACATAATATCAACCCCCTCATTTATATGCAACAGCCAACGTCCAAAATCCAAATAATAAAATGCTAATTTCTTTTTAACAGCGGCATTTCTCAAACCAGAATTTGATTTGCATGAATAAAATCGTAGCATTGAAACAATATATTTTGTTTACTGTATAATTTAAATGGAAATTTCTTTTATTTCGATCAAGCTGCTATCCATACAGGTATTGATATGCAAAAATCAAGCTGCTGTTTGTTATTGCTGATTATCAATGAAAATATGGAAATATTTTCTCAAGCAAAATTAAGTATAAAAAGAGACGACATTGAGGCAGTTAGGAAACACCTCTTCTTAGTAACACAACAGGAACATGTATTCTTACTTGTCACTGTTGAGTGCTATTATCGTATATGCATCTCTTACTGTTCATGCGTAAGTAAAAATGATATATTGAAGATATTATGTATATATGTTGTTTTTCTTTATTAAATTTAAAGTGTTTTGGCTCAAAACAGCGTACAGAATGTATGTCCAACAATAGTAGTTGAGACGAAAAATGGTACTTGCCCGAACGGAACATCATTCAATATCATAAGTGAATATGAAAAGCCGGCAGGTGATTGGCGAATTGATTTCAATGTAGGCAATGTTTAATCTATTATTTTCTAACACAATAAAGAATACTTTTCTAGGACTTACGTGCACAAGGCTTGAACACTCCTGATCAAGTTCTTAATTATATCGAACAAAGATCAGCTAGTGGTTCCCCATGTCTCTATCAACGGTAAATTTTCAATGTGGATATTTGAAAGCGAGAAAAAAAAATCGTTTTGCTTTTTCTTTTTTTAGCAAAGTATCAAAAGATATTTGCTGCAATGGATGGGCAGGTACATCGTGTAATGAACCTATCTGTACGGTCGCTTGTGTTAATGGTCAATGCACCGCACCAGATACATGTTCATGTAATGATGGTTATGCTGGCGAAGGATGTCAATATTCTCTGAGTATGTTCTTTTTTTGTTGTATTTTTTTGTTTCATCATTGTACCTTCATTTTCAGATGATCCTCGTCTGGTTCAATGCTTTCGTGGATCCCAGTGTGCGAATACATCAATGATTAGTAATGAACTGATGAGTATATCTTATTGCTGCGGTAGTAAATCTGGTACTGCTACAAAAAGTGCTGATAGTGCATGTACACTATGTACCGATACTAAGGCAGACACTACTAATGTTACTTTACCGCTTGCTCGAACATTGAATTATGCAACATGTGTTTTATGGGGTCGCGATCATATTCGAACATTTGATGGATTTCTCTATGATTTTCAAGGATCGTAAGTGAAAAGGAAATAAAAATTAAATTAAATTAAAAAAAGAATTTTCTTTTAATAGTTGTCAATATAAATTAACTGGTACAAATAATTGGGAAATCGATATTCAATCTGAGAATTGTGATCGATGGGAAACATGTAAGAAAACATTAACTATCACATTGGGTGGCTTTCGTGTTGTAGCTGTTGGAAAACGTGTGACTGTTAATGGCGTTGCACTGAATTCAACTCAGGGATATGTTCATGGACGTAAGAAAATTTTGTCGAAAGAAAAAATATACAATAGAAAATATTTCCATTCGATTTGTAGCACTTACAATTGAACGTCGTACAGAAGATTATACGTACTTACGTTATTCCGATGGTGTACGCTGCAAGTGGGATAATCAAATGACTGCTTATGTAACAGTTGATCAAACATATATGAAACAAGTAAAAGGTCTTTGTGGAACGTATACAAACAATCCTAGCGGTAAGAAATAGTCTGTTGTCTGTTGTCTTTTTCTTTTGAACAAAAAAAAACGAAATCTTTCAGATGACCTTGAATTACCTGATGGATCACTGAGTAATTCTGTTACTAATTTTGCCAATGGATGGCGTTCTGATAGTGGCGTAAGTAAAATAAACTAATAGATTAGTTTGATTAGCACGTCTGATTTAATTTAGTGTGCATCAAGTGCAGCACCAACTGACCCATGCAATACTCCAGCATTACTTTCTGCAGCTGAAATAGCTTGTCGACCCATTCGTGATCCATATGATTCATTTAAAGTATGCAATCGCATTATTAATGATACTTTCATGTTTGCAGCATGTAAACGTGATCATTGCGCATCAGCCGCATACGGTAGCGATGCTCAACAACAAGCACTCTGTGCAGTATTTGAAGCCATGGCACGTGACTGCGAAGATAATTATATTCATATTAATTGGCGACTATCGAATCGTTGTCCTAAACCATGTTTGAATGATAAAGTTTATACGGAATGTGCAACATCATGTCCAGCAACATGTCAAAATCATCGAGAAGGTTTTATAGATTCATTAGATTGTTCAAAAGATTGTGCACCGGGCTGTGTTTGTCCATCGGATACAGTCATTGACGTAGGTCGCAATGGATCGTGCATTAAATCTGATCAATGTACTTGTTATTATCATGGAAAATATTATTTACCAAGACAAGCAATTTCTATTGATTGTAATGAATGGTAAGAAATATAAGATTGAAGAGAAAATTTTCTGTTTATTATTACTTCGCATTTGATTCGATAGTATTTGCAATGTTGGTACATGGAGTTGTACAAGGAAACATTGTTCGAAAACATGTTCAGTGATTGGTACTAATCATATTCAAACATTTGATGGAAAGCATTATGCCAGTCGTGGTAGTTGTGAATATACTTTGGTTGAAGTAAATTTATTTTATATTCATCTCAGCATGATTTTAATATAATACTAAAATTGATATACATTTAGGAAATCCATCCAGCTACTGGTCTTTATGTAGCATTGGCAAATCCTGATAAACCATCATCAATTTCTAAAGAATTAACTGTTAAAGTTAATCAAACCTTCGTCTATGTTCAAGATAGAAATATTTATATTAATGGTCAAGTTCATCCAACACTACCATTTAAAAATGGTCTCATTACTGTTCAACGTGAAACGAGTGCCTTTTTTGTAATTCTCGGTATTTTTCTCATTTAAACTTTTCATCTATTCTTTTGTTTTTTTGATTGTATTTGTCTGAATATTTAGGTCGTGGTTTTCACATTCAATTTGATGGCATTCGAGTTTACATTCGTTTAGATCCAATATTTGTTAATAATACACGTGGTCTATGTGGCACCTATGATTATAACAGTCAAAATGATTTCTTAACACATATATCCATTGTTGAAACCAACATAAAAACATTTGTTGATGATTATAAAACTGATATAGCTTGTGTAACTCCATCATACGAACATCCATGCCAACAACATATTGCTGTAAGTATCATAAATATACATAAAACAAAACAAAAACCGACAATTTCGTTTGGAAATCTTTTAGAATGAGAAACCAGCGCAAGATAAATGTGAACTAATAAGATCCGACTTATTTGCTTCGTGTGCATCGACAGTGAATCCCTCTCAATTTGTTGCTAATTGCGAATTTGATCTATGCTCAAATACTAACGCACATTTTCAAAATATCTATTTTTGTGCAGCAGTTGCTGCTTATGCTCGCGAATGTCAATTAGCTAATGTCACAACTAATTGGTTCAACGATGCAAGAATTCAAAGTGCATGTCGCGATGCTCAATATGGGCAATGTTTAGGTGGAGCTGCTTACAGTGATTGTGCACCGAAATGTTCACAAACATGTCATCAATTGACAATATCAGGGCAGACATGCTCAGAACGAGAATGTATTGCTGGTTGTTCGTGTCCGAGCCAAACATATTTAGATGTATCGGTTCAAAGTCAACCCCAATGTGTACCGAAAAGTCAATGTTCATGTTATGATTCCGAAAGTAATAGTTATATTAAATCCAGTGGAGTCGCAAAGAGATCATGTGGCGATTGGTATGATGCATTTGTTTTTAGTTCCTTTTGTTTTTATTTGACTATTTGCTTTTAGTACATGTAATGATGGAGCATGGAGTTGTGGATCTCAAGTCTGCGAAAAACAAGTAGGCTGTCCGGCAAATCAAGTTTATGCAGTAAATGCTTCGTCGTGTCCTAAAACATGTGACAATATGAACACATGGAAAGATTGTGGAATTACATTTGAAGGTTGTACTTGTCCTGCTGGACAAGTTCTTAGTCAAGATGTAAGTCATTTTTTATAGAACAATAAATTCATAGTTCATGTTCGGACTAATACGACTACGCATGATTATCTAAATAATGTTTTATGATTTCTCTTTTAAGCTAAAAACGTGTGTTGTTGCTACTACTTGTCCGTGTCGATATGCTGGTCATTTATATGGGTCTAATGAAATTATTCGACGAGGTTGTAGTGAATGCCACTGTTCAGGTGCAACATGGTCGTGTGTTGAACGTCGATGTGACGCAACATGTTCAGGAACGGGTGATCCACATTATTCAACATTTGATGGTCTTCGTTATTCATATCAAGGCAATTGCAAATATATTTTAACGCAAACAAAAGATCGAGCCTTTCGTGTTATTACTGAAAATGTTCAGTGCGGCACATCAGGTGTAACATGCGCAAAAAATATTGTAATTAAATATAATAGTGTAACAGTATCATTGACGCGTGGTCGTGAACCACTTGTGAATGATGTCGAAATCAAAGATTTAACATTAGGCAGACGTGTATTTGGTGATGTTGCCTTAATGAAATCAGGCTTATTTGTTTTTGTTAACAGCTCAGATTTTACGATTAGATGGGATGAAAAAACACGTATTTATGTAACTATACATGCTCATTTAAAAGGTCAAATGGCTGGTTTATGTGGTGATTTCAATGGTGATTCAAGTAATGATTTAAAGTAAGAATTTCTTTTACAAAAGAAAAAAATAGCCTGATGGAACATTTAATATTTATAGTACGGCTAATGGTGTGCCGGGTACGATTGGAGAAATGGCTGATTCTTGGAAAGTTGAACAGACATGTGTAACTGGACCTTCACCAACAATGGACTCATCAGCACCTTGTGCTAATTTTGAAGCGCGTAGAGAATGGGCTGAAAAAGAATGTTATCCGGTAAATACGTATATAGTGATATTTTCGTTTTTTTTTATAATCGTCTATTGTCTTTTTCGAGATCCTTGATAAATCCGAAACAAACCCATTTTTATCTTGTATTAAAAAACTTGATGAAACTGTTGTGCGATCATTTTATGTTGAATGTCTTTATGATGCTTGCCAGTATGTTTAAAAGAAATCGTAGCTTTGTTCTCATATATTATTAATACAATTTTTCATTTTAGTTGTGATACTGGTGGTGATTGCGAGTGTTTATGTACATCACTTTCGGCATTTGCTGAAAAATGTCAAGCAGTTGATGTTCCTGTTAAATGGCGTACACAAGAAAAGTGTGGTAAGTTATTTGAATAAGCTTACTGAAGATACTAACATACATATAATTATATGTAGCACTGCAATGTGAATTTGGAAAAATTTATATGCCATGTGGACCAATTTGTCAGCCAACATGCCGAGATATTTATTCAACTGACAATTATAATTGTGTCGATTCTGGTTGTCAAGAAGGTTGCTTCTGTCCAGAAGGTGAAGTTATGGATGAAACTGGCGCATGTGTTATACCAGAAGAATGTCCATGTATTGATCAAAACTTGGCTTATCCTGTTGGATCGAAGATTATTCGTAATTGTGAACAATGGTAAGTGTTTTGACCATATGTTTTTATGTCAACATAAAAACGTTTCGTCCTATTAGTGAATGTATGAATGGTACATTCCATTGTGAACAATTAGACAATTGTGTACCGAAATGTTCTCAACGTGAATTTACTTGTAATGCAACATCAACTTGTATTCCTCTCGAATGGGTTTGTGATAAAACACCAGATTGTGAAGATGGTTCCGATGAACTTCAGTGCAGTATGTAGTTTCTCTCTTGCCCTTTAATTGATTTATTGATTGATATCATGTACTAGATTGTACACATGACGATTTTATCTGTTCAACTGGTCAATGTATAAATCCATCGTATCGTTGTGATGGTTTACCACAATGTCGTGATGGGTCTGATGAATTAAATTGCAACTATCCTGTTTTGTGCACCGAATTTGAATGTGCCAATAAACGTTGTATACCTCTATCTTGGGTATGCGATGGTGCCGTTGATTGTTCAACTGACGGTCAAGATCGTTCCGATGAACGTCATTGTAATGGTACGAAATGCGATACAGATAGTGGCCGAGAAACTCTATGTAAAAATATGCCAGGTGGTAAATGTTTATCTGTATCTCAACTATGTGATGGTCATGATGATTGCGGCGATGGAAGTGACGAAGTTAATTGTACGTGTACATGTAGTCAGAATTTATTTGCATGCAAAAATGTATGCGAATGTATTCCGGTAAATCAAGTATGTGATGGTACAAAACAATGTAAAGATGGTTCAGATGAAAACCCATGTAAATGCAATCAAGGTGAATATACATGCACAGGCGGTTTATGTATTAATGCAACAAACCTTTGCGATGGAAAAATGAATTGCCCCAAAGGCGATGATGAATCACAATTGAATTGCAGTAAGTAACAAAAAAAAAAGATTTTTTTATTCTATTTGTGTATAACATATTGAATTTTCATCTGTAAAGATGTGACAACGGTAGCTACATCAACTCCAAGTCAATGGTCAACAGAAGTTACTCCAAGTATGTGATTTTGTATTTGATAGAAGGTTTTTTGAAGTTTTTTTTTTTAATTGTTCTAGTGTTTTCAACTGCCGTGTATACAACACCATTTTGTGATACTGGTCTATGTCTTGCGTTGAATGTTGAACGATGTATTCCAGTAGATGAACTTTGTGATGGAGAAAAGTTCTGTGATGATGGAACAGATGAAATTCCGATTTTATTTCCTGGCTTTGCTGCATGTCTTCAAACTACAAGTATGAACAAACATTCGTCGTCAGACAGTCTTTCCGAGTAACATATTTTTGGGATATCTATTTAACTTTTGAAATATCCTGAAGACTTGTTGTTCTTTTCAATTTTGATCATGAACTGAAATTTTTTTTTGATTCATTTCAATAGTGTTACCACCACATCCAACAACTGGTATGGTATGTTCACCGCCCGACCAGAATATTTGTGGACTATGTTTGGCACCAGAAAAATTCTGTAATGGTATTTGTGACTGTAAACAAGGTTGTCTTGATGAAGCGGATTGCAGTAAGTTTCTATTAAATTCTAATTGATGCGCATGAATAATTATTTTATTTAGCTCCGTGCACGTTGAAATGTAAGGGATCAGATGCCTGTATTACACCGAAACAACTTTGTAATAGAAAATGTGATTGTGTTGAAACATGTTCGGATGAAGAAGATTGTATTATGCGTAAGATAATCAATAAGTACACTAAAAAATGATTTTTCGATTTTTGTTTTCGTTAAATTATGTAGCAACTCCACCACCGTGTACAGAATTTATATGCGATGTAAATTCTGTTAATCCAATTGGTAAATGTTTGAATCATACACATGTTTGCGATGGTTATCCTGATTGTGTTGATAAAACTGATGAAGGCAAAGATCATTGTAATTATACAACAACGAAGAAAACATCCCACGTAACGTCAGAAGTTTCTGGCGCAACAACCGTTTCGGAAGGTTTGACTTTTTTCAATTAATTATTATTTATTTATTTTTGCTAATTTTCTATTTCAAGTTTGTACCAATGCATCAGCAGCCTATCAAGCATTTTCATTGAATTCTCCATTGATATTAACCGTTTCATCTCCACAAATACCAGAGTTGACAGCAACTCGTGAAATATCACCGACACATCCTCTAACTGTCATAGGAACAAAAGAGGTTTATATGACTATTTACTTTACATCAGTGTATGAAGTCATGGAAATAAATCTAAGTGCAACACACAGATTACGATACTTCGCTGCTCGTACTGATGATGAACATCCATCCATAAATGGTGTTATAGAACCATCATCAACTGATACAAATGTACAGTATGTAATCCATGTTGTTCCACCATCAACACAGCTCACTAAAGTAGTCTCACTTACCATTATCACAAGTGTAACAACTGATATTAAATCAATACAAATTAAAGCTTGTACAGGTAACATTTTTTTAATGATGAAAAACCAAATATGGACTTATTCTTATAATCGAAATCTGAGATTCTCGGAGTAACACATAACAAAGTATCTTCATCAGCAAGAATTTCAATTAGCCATGATTTGACCTAAACTGATTTAGACCTAAGGAAATAAAAACAAAAAGTATTTCGGTCTGATACCAAATTTAAGAAAAGATTTGAAATTATTCAGTACAGCGCTGAACCATTTGAGAACACTTGACTATTAAATTACGATTTGTTGAGATCCCACACCCAGGCCTATTATGTATTTTATGTTTAAGTGAAACACGATTAAGTTATTCTTATTTTCGAGGTTCATTAACTTAATAGTATATTTTTTTTCTAGGAACAGTAACGGCACGTGAGTATTAGTTTGAAGAAAAAGGGTAAAAATTAAAATTCAATATTTTCGTTATTTAGCATTCACTGCTACATCAACAGGTCCAACAGAAAGTAAGACATGTTCGATATTAAAGATTGATTATATAATTTTACCTTTTTTATTTTTAAGCAACACCACATCGATGTGAGGATGAAATGGGCCTTCGAAATGGTTTTATTCCAACAAGTGATATATATGCATCGTCATATAAAGAAGCGAGCAACATTCTTGATACAATTCGTTTGGGTAATGCAAAGTATTGGGTTGCTGCTAGCGATGATCTAACTCCATGGATTGAAATTCGTTTTTCACCAAGTACTTGTCTTTGAGTAAAAATTTCAATCTATTTCATTCATAATCTATCGGCTTCTAGATAATACTAAAACTTTAACTGGCTTTCAAATTCGTGGTGAAATAACAGAAATTAACGTTCAATATGATACGCTAACTGCCGAGAATATTGATTATACCCATAATGTTTGTAGCTTTTAGATTCTCTTTTTGTGTGTATAAAACTAAACAAAATGTTTTATTTAGCCTATAAGACGAATCGCACCATCGGCATCAGCTATAAGTACAATATTTTTTGTTGAGCCACTCATTGATGTGACTCGTATTCGATTTAATTTCAATCGAGTTCTAAGCAATACTGTAATTATGGAACAAATTGAATTGCTGGGTTGTGCAGAAGGTAAACGTCAAAATTAAATGTAAAAATAGAAATTATTAGTCTTCAATTAGGTTCAACAGTATTTTCGACAACTTCAGGAACGGCACCATCTGGTTCAGCGGCCTCAAGCACAGCCCGGGGTCCAACTGAAAGTTAGAAAAATAAATTGCTTAGAAGCTTTCTTTAATATATCGATCATTTTCTAGCTACACCGCCGCATGTTTGTAGAAGTGAAAACATTCTTAGTAATACTATTAATGGCAAAGATGTTCGAGTAATGTTCAATAATAAAGTTGTAACAGACAATACGAAAGAAAATGGTGCAGGTATTGATGTGGATAAGAATGAATATATCACAATATATTTTTCAAAAATACAAACCGTTGATTCTGTTGTTATTCTACCTAATTCAAACGTCCAATCGTATTCCATTTCATATACAAAACCAAATGGAGATGAATATATCTTAGTAGAAGTAAACATAAGATTTTCCTTTTTCAATTGACATTGATTGTTTTTGTTTTAAAATAGAATCAGGAAAATTCAGAAACGAAATTTCATCTAATTGAAACACAAACAATTAAAATATTACCAAGGACTAAAATAAGAAATAACTTATATTATCATATACGTTTAGCAATTTATGTCTGTGAAGCATTAACAACTACTGCGACAGGTTTTAGCAAAAAAACAAACTTTTAATTAAGTTAAAGAAAGAGAATTTTACAAATTTAGGTACACCACAGTCTATGCCCACTGAAAGTTTTACTAGTAGTAAGAAAAACTAAATAAAAAAAAAAAATTTTCATTTCAATATTTAGGGAAGATACCATTATCCACTTTCACAGGTGCCACAGAAACTAGTGAGTATACATTTTTGTTTTGCTTTTACTTAACCCCGTTAATATCTATATAATCATATATGCTCATTAGGTGAAGGTGAAACAGTAGAAATAGCAGGTCCTGAAATAACACCAACAACACGTATACACTTTTTTCTCATAAAGATGCTGAATTTTACTATCATTTATTAGATTTCTTTACTCCAACATTCGAAACGAGTCAAACGGGTTCAACGTTTTATATACCAACTACAGCTCGTTCTCCACGATCGACAGGTAGATTGAAGCAAACTATATTTGATAATAAAAATTCCATCAGAGACTTATTTTTAACATGATACAAATAATTCTTTAAATTAGAGAAAACTTTGTAAACGTGATAATAAAAGTTTATGATGGTGCATTTTGAGCGCGTTCATCTTAAAATCTATGATTTCTGTCTCTTAGGTTTTACAGCTACTCACACTAGCACAACGCATATATGTACACTGCAAGAAGGTATGGATAAACCTCAATATTTGCTAGAGCCTGTACTTAACGGCGCTCATTTCCCACGATCACCAAATATTAGTCCCAATGGCGAAGGTGTTACATTTACATCACAAACTGCTGAAATAGCAATTGAACTGGCTCCATTCATTACACCAATAATTGAATATTTATCGATTGCAAATACAACAATTACTAACGTTGATCAACTATATGTTACAATCATTGCATCAAGTGGTTCAACTATTCGAACGCTCAATTCATCCGTTGGTAATACTGTTGTCACTGGTTTTCCGGATATTCCATTACCAGTTGGCTCCACATTGCTGATTACATTTGGCACAAATGACCAAAAACCACCCAGTGCGGTTACATTATCGATCCAAGCTTGTTTCCATCCAGAACTAATAACAACTACATCAGGTTATTCAACTACTAGAAGTGAGTGTTTTAAAGCTAATTTTTGTAGATCTTTTCATTAGTTCGTCAGCAGCTGTAAAAAATACAGAGACAATGAAAAATATGTAGCGTAATTGACATTTTAGAAGATGTGGAATCTCGTATTATGCCCTTAAGAACATCATATTATTTTCCTACACTAAGCAGTTTTTTTGCTAAAATGCATGAACTGTATTTTTGTTACTTGAAAAAAGATAACGAGAAGAATTTAAGTTATATTTCGAAAGGAAATTTCGCAATAAGGCTATCTTCATCATAAATTGTACTGAAGCCTGAAAGATGCAACTAATTATTATTTCACATTGCAAACACTATTGAAGAAAGAAAAGCATATACTTATCAAATGCTATTATTTTGTATTAGTGCATTACTTAAAATCTACATCTTATAGAAAAATGTCTATTCTATTTTAATCAGTCTATTGAGAAAAACTCGAAACTTTTGAACTCAACAACTCTTAATAAAATAAATCCGAGTTCTCCCTAGATTTGTATATATTCTATACAATTTTTTCTTTCGACTGGCCTGGATATTTTCGAATAAATTGTTCTTCATAAGAGACAATTCATCTTTGTTCAATTATAAAAAGAATTATATTTTTGATTGTTCATGAAACGAAAAGAACAAACTCAGCCTGAGCACTATAACTATTAATTTGCTCATGTCATATAATTGAGTTAGCTAATTACAGTTTATATGATTCAAGTAGAGATCGCCTTTGGTTACTAGAAAGAGCCGAAACACTCATGCATAGACATTTAAAATATGCTCATTAAAAAAAGCAATAAAAAAAGCAAAGAACCTAGCGAATTCTTCTTATCTGTATTTTTCATCGTTGATATAGAAATGGATCTTGTATTATAGAGAATCTAACCAGTCAGTACTTTACATTATTTCAAATTTTAAGATTCAGTATTGAAATCATAAGAGTTTTTATTTGAAAAGACTGATCGTATTTGAGTGAAACTACTGTTTCCACAATTAATGTATGACAGCAAGAGTGCATTAATTCTGAAGTCGAAAAACATTAGAAATCCCTTACTGAAATCTCCAATAAAATGACGACGCTAACGCATATTTGTTTTACACTGAACAGTTAGTAAGAGATACGGCTCGCACATACGATAACATAATAATCAAAGTTCATAAACATAGAGACAACCATCATTTAGATTACCAAATATATTTATAGATTATCTTCAGTTGTAAAAATCCATCAGTAAATCCGACATGCTCTTCAATTTTGAATGAACAAACCATTGCGTCATTCGCTTTTATTAAGTTAACTATATTTGAACTGTTGTAAGATTCGCGATGGCTACTCTGATATAGGGAAATAGCACATGCTTTTAACTTGAATGCTTACATTGTGTAAATATGGAGATAAGATCAAAACCTTACAGCTATGGAAATCAGCAAACGATAGACTTCATTGTTATTCGTTCAATTTTATGAGATACGCTAGTTCAACTAAATATTTTTGGTTTTCTATAAAATAAAAATTGCTAAAGCTATTCACATATTAACTAGAAAAACTCACAATCTCCATTTATTTCATTTCCTGCTTTTCATACAAACATAGTTCTGATGATGATGATGATGGTGGTGGTGATCACATCTAGACGGGGTTCACTCAACTGAAGTTGAAAAGCAACTCTTGCACGTTTTTTGGTGCTCAATGAATTTAACTATTGTACCATTTTTTTTACAAAAACCTAATTAGATTAAAGCAAAATATTTTAAGATAACATATGTCTTGTTTCAGACCAGACACCAAAATCGAATTGAATTGCCGAATAATTCGATTCGATTCGATTTGTCTGGGACGAATCGAACCGACTTCGAATGGAACTTCGAAATTCCCGAATCGCATCGAATGAATAAAAAGAATTGAAAAAAAAGTCGAATCAAATTGAATGATACTTCTAGAAAAGAGGTCGAATCGAATCGATTCACTTTTTTTTCAGTTTTATTCGGTTATTCAAAATAATTTTCTTTGTTCTACAGAGTTACGGTCGGCCCAGGAGAATGATTCCGACAGTAGGATCCTGTCGGATTCCAACAAGGGTCAGACAGTGAATATACCGAATACCATATGTGTTTTAATAAAATCGACGAAATCTTGTGGGATTCCTGGACAGAAACATACAGTCGGATCTTTGGTATTGGGTCCAATCGGATCCGATGTTGAATTTTAACGGAATCCAACTCTAACGAATCATTCTTGCACTCTGACGGCTCAAAATGCTTATTTGATCGTGGATAAGAAAATGATTTTTTCCGTCAGAACCGATAATAGGTCCGTATCCAGGAACCCTATCGGATTCTGTCGAAAAGTCGAATCCCATAGGATTCGATAAGATCCGTTGTCGGATTCATTCACCTGGGGGAAGGCAGTTGCCTAGTATAAGATATGACGAATGAAAAAGGACGTCCGCTGTTTCTCTTTCTTTCCTTTGGTCAGTCGTGTTTATTTAACGGTCATCCTTGTTTTGTTCTGTTCATATCATTATCATGGCCAAGTGCACTTTGATTGCTATAAGAAATGTCCACTTACAATGAACGTTTCATCTGCCTTTCCTTCTTTTTGTGTACTCAAAAAGTGAGTACACTAGATTCGGTCAGTGTATCCGACCGTTAACACGATAACTCTTGAAAGCCTCATTCAATTGTCTTGAAATTTTGTATACAGAATGATCTTATCAATATCTCAGTCGAGTTCGAAGATGAGAAGGACCTGTGCAGAAATGGCTGATTTATCGAAAAGATTGTCATTATTGACCAAACCATCCCTGAGATGTACAGGGTTTTTTTTCAAAGCTTTTCTTTTTTCAGAATTATTCAAAACATATAAATCGACTCAGTTTTTGCAGTACACGTAATAGTCGGATGCGAATCCGATGTTTCCTCATTTTTTTTCTTGAGCCATGTATATTTAGGCCCCAATCACACTGAGAAGTAAATTAAAATTATAGTTGAATTAAGCCATGCGATTGGTGCATTTAGAGCGGTGTAATCTCTTAGAGGCGATTTAACTCTTAATTCATCAATTAGATTGCTTAATGCGACTTTACGGCTTGTCCACGTAATTGTTACTTTCGCTGCGGAAGTTTTCGAAAAAACATTTTTCGATATGGGCTGATCTCGGCACATCCTTCGATGTAGTTTTTTTGCGCTGATTACGAATTTATCATTTTTATTTTTTTTAAATCACTTTTTTGCAACCAAAATCACGTTTTTTTACTTTTTAAAAATCGTATTTTGAATTTTTTAAGGTAACATTTTTTTTCGAAAAGTTCTAATTATTACACCATTCGATGCAGAATTGTATTCTCTACAAAATCAGCTGTTTATGTTTAACTTTCACCACCTGAGGCCACTTTTACATTGTTGTTGAGTTTTCAACTTCCCATACTAGTAACGAGCTTCTGCTTCATCATAAGAACTTGAATTTTTGTACAGTGGTTATAGGTACAGAAAAGACCAGACGCTATAAAAATCAAATAGGTCTGAGTAAGTTAAGTGACCCGAAATTGATCGACAAAAAAAGGTGTCACAGCGTTACAAAAAATGTCACAGTGCTACGTTCGTTTTTTAAATTTTTTCTTTGAATAATGAAAGCTAGGAAAACACTTTTTTTACCATTGAAAAGCTCTTTTCATGCTTTACAAAGTTAGTTCCAGGGCTATTTTAATTAGAACTTTTCGAAAAAAAATGTTACCTTAAAAAATTCAAAATACGAT